TTAGTATTTTGGTCTAAACAACCCAAAATGTGATGTCCACACATGTGGATGCCAGGTCCTCGGAGGTTCAGCTGGAAAAATTAACAAGAATTAAACAGGTAGAACACACAGCATGAGAGGGATCATGAAACAGACCAAGGAAAACACAGAGCTTAAATACAGAGAAGGATAAGAGGGAACGAGACACAGGATGAGAGCACAGCTGGAAACATTAACAGACGCAGACTGTCAAAGTAAAACAGGAAACAGCACAGCAGTGTGAACCTGACATGAAAAGGCATATAAACAAAACCTAAAACTGGAAATCTGGAGATACTAAATAACTCGGGGAGCTAGAAATACAGAAACACTAAGTCACAGAATATAGACAAACAAAATCAAAACCACTGGGTCACCAGGTACCCCAACACTTTCAGCTGTTCCTTGATCCCCAATTGATTAAAGCAGCCAACGGCCTAAAAGTTCCACATTTACCCCACAAGTTTAACATAATCAGACTGTAGTAATAAACTAACCTGGCTCCTTCATATTGCCTTCCCAACCCAGCAGAGTGACTTTTGTCGAGGTTGAGCTACTTTATTTTATCCATATTTGGAATACAGTCAATGTCTTTGCTGTAGGGGAGGTAAGGCTGCAACCACAGCTTCATGGGCTCTGCCACAGAGTTCCCTCCTGGTTAGACGTGCCTGAAACACACTTGCGTATAAGTCATCCAGAATGTTGAGGTGGTCTGCATATCTGACTAGATTCAACCTTCTGCTGTAGACCAGATTCTTCTGGGCTCATTTATACCACTCCTACCGCACTGCTGCAGGAGAGTGAGGTCCTTCTTTGGAGGGTGCTGGACTCCATGCATGGTAAGGAGCTTCCTTGTTTCAATGTCAGTGGCTTGTATCTCTTATTTTGTTGGTTGCAACTTTCCTGGTGGCCTCTTCATGGTTCCAAATTGCCTCTGTGTCCCCCCCCCCAAAGGTACTTGTAGCTGTCTGCAATGTTGCCCTCTCTTTGTTACCATGTGACCACACTTGTCCAGTCCAATGGCATTCCCATGTTGTTGTTGTGGATCAGTGAGTTGGTGTCTGGTTCACTCCTGGCTTGATGTCGTCCATCTAGAGGTGGTTAACAACTGCTCCATCCATGGGGTTCAGGTCTATGCAGAACAGCTTTTGGGACGGAGCATGTGTTAGATCCTAGACATGATGGCAACTTGTGGTATTGACTTTTAGTTGGTCTCTGTTCCCCCATCGGGTTCCTGAAGAAAGGTTGAAGAAAGGATTCCTGATCTTGTACAGTTCTAGGCAGTCTAGATACTCTAGAAGTCTAGCGAGACTGCTCCAACAGTGGTTGGTATTTTGCCCCTCTGGTGTTTCTGCCAATTCCTTGATTATGTATTGAGCCATACACCTATCCATCTTACTGCTATGATGCCTAAAAGGGGCTTCCATGTAGTGCCGAGACAGGTTATTGGCCGGTAGTTGGACGTGACTGATCTCCTCTGGGGATCTTTGGGGATCTTTGGGGATCAGGACTATCCAGCCTTCAGTTAGCCATTCTGGGTGTATCTCCTACATCAGCAGCTCGTTAATTTGTGCTGATGGGGTGTAGTTAGCTTCTGTAGCTTTAGCTTCTGTGAGTCATTCTGCCACTGTGTTGGTTGCTGTGGTGTGCTCTTAGATCCTAGCCACTGAGCATTGTTGTTGTGTTGCGTCCTTCACCGGTCTTCTCTTTCAGCGTTGCTCCATCTCCAGCCTTGGTTGGTGCTGTTCTCACATTGTTTATCTCCCAGAGGTGTTCTAGTGGGCGTGGGTCCAGCAAGCATGGAGACCAGGCTGAGGTATCCTCCAGGAACTGCCTGCATAATCTGGTCACATGAGTCCGGGCACTGTCGTGCACCAGGTGGAAAGCAGGACCCAGTGCACCAGTATAGGGTCTCACAAGGATTTCATCCTGATCTCTAATAGCAGCAAACTGAGTAACGGCCCCTCCTGCTCTTTAAAGCAACCGACTCTGGTTGTGAAACGATAATCACAATAACTGATGATTTCATTTATTTTTTACCCAAAAACAAAGAAAAAATTCATTTTTATGAGGTTTTTATCAGACTTACATTTGAAATGGAATAAAAAAATAGTGTCAAAATGTTTGAATTCAGTTTTAATTAAAAGTGGGAAAATCCACTTCATATTAATTAAGTATCAATCAAACCAGATGGGGACATTTTTGACCCCTGAGGACCACAGCTGTGATTATGTGCTGCCATTTAAAATTTATAACTGCTTAAAAAAAACTTTCTCACTAAAGTTCAACATACAGCACTCTGTAGTTAGTCAGATAGTCAAAACTATCTAAACAATTAAATATTTTATTGTCTCGTTTTATTTTTGCTCAAAAACACACGATACTTGATGTAAACAAGGTCTGGTGGCCCTAAAATGTATAATGTTGGGTAAATTTTGTGTTAATGTGTTGGTCTTAAGTAAAACTCAGATGTAACACTGAATTGATCGACAATTTATACTTTAAAAAACACTCAAATGTATACACACAGGTGTGTGGAAATTGGGACGACATTATGAGGGTTAATTGAGCAGAGCAACATCCCACAAGTTTAACTGATTAAAAAGTTTTCCTTTAATTGTATTTTTGGAGCAGTGTCTATACGTACTCATCCCAGTTTACCACTTTTTACTGCAGAGCAGCTCTACAGCGCGTGCTGTGTATCTGTCAGCCTCCCACACATGCCCGGCTCGTCCACAGATGTCACACTACATGCACCTACAGCGAGTTTTGGCAGACGGAGGTTAGACCACAAAGCTCTGGACCTTAATTTCTTTTAAACTTGACTTTTTATTTGGTTCGAATGAGCAAATGTAAGCATGCTAACATGTTAGAAACAGCAGTGGTTTCACATGATTGTGCTCGCCATAATGAAGAAGTGCAGCAAATTTAAAACAGTTGTTGACCTTTGTTGTCCTTCCTCAGTGTTTTGCAGTCTGCTAACAGACGAGAGAGGAAACCACACACAGGGGCTTTGCAGCAGCTTCTCCGAATTAAACAGCGCTACTCTTTCTGCCCTGCGCACCAGTCAGGGGCTTTTCCGCCTCTCGCCTTATCCTGACATTTCAAGTGTTTTTAGAGTCAGAGCAGAGAGACTGTGTGACTGGTCACGTTGGACGTGGAAAATGACTGCGTCAGTGTGTTTAAGTCGGTAACTTAACACTAGATTAACTTTTGGGTGTGATTAAATTTAAAATGTGGTCACTTTAGATGACCAGTTGATTCTGGTTCTCTTTCTGTTGGCAGCCCCAAAAAGCTGTCATTAAACATTAAAGTGAGGTCATAAATAATGTGCTTAAAACAAGCTCCATCAAATAATCAATGTAACATTGTTACATTGATCTGAGCCCCTCTACATGACATTGTTACTGTAAGTTGCACAGATAACGTCTTCGAGGGAGTCTAACTTGAGATTGTGTCGTTTGTACTGTGGTGTTTCTATTTTTGCTGCAGTAAATAATATTCCACTGTGGTTAATGAGAGGCTGCAGCGGTAAACCAAAGAGTTAACAGAAAAAAAAACAGTTTGCATGATTAAAGTGTTTTGACAAACTTTCATACTTCTACAAAGTGACCGAGCATCTGCAGCGTGAGCTGGGAGAGCTGACATGTGTGGAGTGGACTCGCACTCGTTCGAGAAATCAGCGTGAGGTGAAACAGCGCATCTCAAACCACTTGCTGCTTCGCTTCACTTCCTCTGATTGTCTTGTGGTTGATGTACTGTGAGAGCTCCTGCTGAACACAACACGGGTCAGACATTTTATCCAGCACAAGGCTGATTTTTGAATTTTTAAGTGGGACCGAACAGAATAAATCCTGTCTGGTGTCTGACTGTCAGGCTTAGGCGAGAAGAATGGACTTGATCACAGAGCACAGGTAGGGCTTTTTCATTTAGTTGCTCTCTTCCTGCGCTTTCTTTGTGTTTTGGGCTTCAGTGAATCAGCTCTATAAAAAGAAACGTTCTTCCTATCACTGTTCCAGACCAGCCTGATGTTCTTTTACCAGTTTGTGCCAGAAAACAAACACTGAGCAGAGGACATGGCGGACTGTTCAGGTGAGCTTTGAGGCTTTGACGCTTTGTAAGAGCTCGTGAATCTTAGACTTACTTATTCGTGGCCTTTCAGGTGCCTACTCCATCGTATACACCCTCAGCGGTCTCCTCTCCTTCACCATCCTGGTGTTCACAGTGCTGGGAGCCGTGTGTGTCAGAAAGTAAGTCCATTTAAGTTCTTTAAAAAGGCTTTTATTAACGACGTGAGCTCAGTCTCACTTGGTCTGTTTGCTACATTTTATCTTCAAATCAAGCTGCAACAGTAACAGCAGCATTATTCAATAAAACATAACAATTTCCTTTCACGTACTTTAGCGTGAATATATTATAAGATCAGACGTTAATAAAAGCCCATTTTTGGCCCAAACTGGCTTCACAGACGGGAATGAGCCGCTCAGATGCTAACGGCTATAATGGTTTCCTTAAAATTAGTCTTTGCTTGTTTGTGAAATGTACCTCTCAGCGGCTGTATGAAGTCTGGTGTAGACGTTTATTTCCCTGTTTACAAAAGTGAGATGTTCTTCTTTGATCGTCTCATTTCCTGAGATCTGTAGTCTTCAGATTTCAGTGTTTATGTACTTTTAAAGTAGAATGTGAAAACACCGAAGATGGATTTAGTTTGTTTGCTCAGCCTTTGTATTATTATTATTATTATCATCATCATCAATGCATAGCTCCATAGGTCCAAAAACAGATGTTATCCACTGTAAGAGATCATGTTAACATAGACTCAGATGTCCACGGACCTACTTTATACAGCACCTAGTTAGATGTTTCTAATATTTTGGCATCATATGTTATCTTTCAGTATAAGCATACGTTGTTGTCGTTGTTTTGAAATGAGCCAAAAAGAACACACGGCCAGCTGTTCTCAGCTTTTCTTTGTTCTTTTATTCTGAAAACATTTTCATTTGTGCAGCATGTTACCAACTGAAATGATGGTGTATTACAGAAAATGGAAAAGTGAAAAATAAAAGCAAAAAACTGACTTATTCAAAACGAATGTTGAGTCAGGGTCAGCTGAGTCTCTAGCCTCCATCTGAATTCATGTCTGTGTTATCCAACGACCAATTTTAGCTCGTTTATTTAGAATAAAGCTCCCAAGACTCGGTGATCTGTTTATAGATAATGTATTTCTAGATAAATGTGATTTGTTTTCATTAAGGTCAGGAACAAATTTCCCAGAGGAACCCACCCGAGGGATTAATAAAGTTTTATCTAATCTAATCTAATCTAATTATTACTAGGGCTGCCACAAACGATTATTTTGATAGTCGACTAGTCAC